CAGTTACTGAGGAATGTATCCACTCTGTGGGGTGCTCTCCTCCAGGACCTGGATCTTGCGACAATGTGGGACGACCACCTGTCCTACCTGCTGTCCTCAGCTCTGTCAGCCTATGAGCTGGAACGCTGCACCGGTGTCTCCTGCGGCAACGAGGAGTTCCAGGACGCCGTGAGGAGGGCCGTGCCAGACGGACACACTTTCAAAGGCTTCCCTATACACTTTCTTCACCGTAACGCTCGTCGGGCCTTTGCCACCTGCCTCAGGTAATATACGACTAAACTAAATGTTAAAATATCACAACTAGAGAACAAAGCTGTATGAAAACGTCAATGACTTTTGAAAGGTTGCCAGTGATTATGTGGCCTCGAAGCCCAAACTTTTGCACAGTACTTCAGGCTCATCTTTACCTGTGGCTTTCCTGTAGAGGGTGCTGCACACAGACCAACAAACATGTTAATGTCTATGTTCTAATAGTGTCGGTATTGAGTAATAAATGATGCGCACACATCTACTCTAAAGCATGATGGGAAATAGCCTCAAAATAAAAAGTGACCCTGTCTTTTCCACAACATATACTGTAACAGTTTCACATGTTATACCTCCTGCCAGAGCTGAGAACACGAATATGATCACGAAAATAATAGACTCAAAAGTCATGCCATTACTTCCTGCCTCTGTCATAGACAGGTTTCTAAATAACCTGCGCACATTCACCAACACTCAGCCTTCAGTTTTGTCCCTTTGTTACAAACAATCCAGAATATTAAACTGGTTTTATTCCCTGAATATTCTTCTCACACGTTATTGCTCTGGATGTCTTATTTTTCATGCAGGTCCCCCTTCTGTGAGGAGATAGTGTGTTGTCGTGGCGATCACGTGAGGCTGGCTGTCCGCGTTCGGGTGTTCGTTTATCCCGAGAACGCGTGCGCAGTGTGGATCATGTTTGCCTGTAAATACCGTTCTGTACTCTGACCAGCAGATGGATGGCGCCCAGGAAACCCCGCCCTGTGTTGCACTTTGACCCCACACTGGATTTTAGGACACCACAGGAACACACCGGGACTCACAATGAGACTAAATTGATATTAAGCTCCACTATTGCACAGACATGTTTGTGGCTCTGCTTTGATGGTCGGGCCTTTATTTTGTAGTGGACTCATTTGTACAGACATTTACATTATTTATTTTTGCAAATAAACCCAACTTTGCTTATCCTGCTGTGCATTTTTTTTACATGCTTTATTAAAGACGTTTAAACCTGTGTCTCAAACACAAACAGGCTTGTTTTACTGCAGTTGCATGAAGGATTTAAATAATACAGAATTACCTGCTTTGACAGAGCCTTCATTTACAGCAATCTCATTTAATCAAAAATAATGAGATACTGAGGGAACGATATGGTCACAATTGCTCCAAGATTGTAAGAACTAAACTAAATGAAACAGTACAGTATATTATAAAGATGCAAATGAATGTAATGAAATTATGTCTTTGAGTTTAAAAAGGTTTTGCCACCATTTAATATAGACCTATCACACAATGTCATATATCATTAATAGAAAATATTGACTACATGTGAAAGTATGTGATTAAACCACGCTGTATACTGCTGCAACAAACCAAAAATCTTTAAGCAACACAAAAATCCAGCACTGTCAAAAGTTTGAAATTTATGGCCATGGTGTGAAAGAAATTTATTGATTTAGTCTAGCGGTGCCAAACACGTGGCTGGGGGGCCAGAACCAGCCTGCCAGAGTGTCCATCATGGCCTAGAGTATCCCTAGTGACACCGACATTACCCATGAGCTGGCATTTTACCCCAAAGTCAGTAAAAGGTAGAGCGTTACATGATAAAAATTTAGGCTTTT